ATAACTTAAATGCTCGAAGGTCCGATAAACACTTTAAAATGCCCCTCAGTATGATTTTGTTGTTAAAAAAGGCACATCATATTTCGAGTGCATCTCCCCCGGCAGATTTTACAAGTTTGGTGGTAGCTGGTTGTTGCCCCCACTGCAAAGACTATTCTAGAAAAAGCTGTCCAGACCCCGTGGTGGGGGCAGAGAGAGGAGGGTCCTGTGTTGCAGGCGAAAACACTGGCAAGTTGGGACGGGGCACCGGTGAGCCATGGAGCCCCCGGGAGAGCAGAGCGGGACAAGGGCGGGGACGAGGGAGCAGGGCCAGCGGCTGGGCTGGACGCCTGGGGGCGGCTCTCCCCGCCTCTGCGCACACTTTCAGCAAAGTCGGAATCATTCGGCTCTGCAGGACCTGCTGGCTTTCTCACCTCACGGAGGGGGACGCTGACGTCAGTCTTTCCATAACCTCTGTTTGTCTTGAAAGTGGAACAGAGCGAACCTTGAGCTCTAAGAAGATGACCAGCACCCTTTCTGCACCCGGCTTGGCCCCATGGACATCGGCACGGCTGGCCTCACCCAAATTCTCTGGCAGCTCAGATTTTGGTGTGAAGAAAGCCTGTATTCAGAAAGTAGATGGCGAGGGAGCCAGGCAGTTGGAAAATGGCTGGAACAGGCTCCTTGGGTCCCATGCCTCCTGCAGGGGCTGGTCTAGTCCCAGCCCTGCCCTTGGGGGTGCTCGGGCTCAGAACAGTCCTGCAGGATGTGGGGACCCCCCACTGACCTGCAGACCCTCAGGGTTCAGGTGTGGAAAGAGCACCCAGATGGGGCCTCGGCTCCCTGCTTAGGAGTCCTGCTGCTTGTTCCCTGCTGTGACAACTGGGGCACGAAGGGCCGGGAATGCAGCACGGAGGTGTGCACACTGTGTCACGAGGCACAAAGGAGGGCGCATCACAGAGAGAGCCACACTGGATTTCAGCACTGATTTATAGAGAAGAGCTCCCTGGAAGGAGGGAGGGAAATAGTCATACCAGTTGTAATAGCTTAGATTTACATAACATTTACTGTGGATCAAGGGGTATTCTAAGTGCTTTCCTGTATTAATTCATTCAGTCCATGTAACAACCCCAGGAACTAGGTACAATTATTATTCCACTTTACAGATGAGGCAATTGAGGCACAGAGAGGTTAAGTAACTTGCCGTAAGTCACACAGCTAATAAGTGGCAAAGTCAGGATTTGCATCCACTCCCATCCATCCAGGCCTGGGCTCCTAATACTTAGGGAATATAGGGGTGTGGGCTGAATGGGGGGAAATTCACTCCAGTCATGTGAACAGCCGTGGCCGTGTGAAGCAGATTAAATCAGAGAAACCAGTGTAGTCCAGACAGATTACGGAGGAAACGGCAGCAGCTGCAAGAAGGTTCCACACATTTGAGAATTTATGAGACTACGTCTCATTTAAGTCACGGTGTAAGAAGACAGAGTACTTCCCATTCTTAATGTCCAAGGCAAAGATGTTTGAAACCATGTTAAAAAGGAATAAACAAAAACATCTAAACAACCCATGAAAGGAAAAAAAAAGGAAAAAGTCAAACATGAACGTGAAAATAAACACATCAGGGGAGAGTGGAAAGACACACCCGTGTTCTTTAGTAGTTGATACATTTCCTAATTGTGTACTCAGAAAATATATTTGTATGAAATGTGTTCTTACCACGTTAAAAATGTGTACATTTATGTCACATATGTGTATTACATAGTCACACACTGTATACTATATTTTTTTTCTCAATTTTGAAAGGTCTGACTGACAGCGCTAGTAAACACAATTCATACTGGGACATGAAACATTCTAGAAGGTAGCTGAAGAACATTACTATATATTTACTCCAAACTGTTGTTGTCTGGTGCAAAAATTTATAAATTTTGGACTTGACGTCTTCAAAGTAAATTAAACTGGAGCTCAGACTGTTCACGCTTCAGGCAGTCTTTTTAAAAAGGAAGCACCTCAAGTGCTTTAAGCAAAATTCCTCCATCTTCATAAAGAGATGCTTTTATTATAAACCTGGTCGTGTGCACTCAGTCAAAGGAGCAGACAGGGCTCTTTTACGTAAGTGTCACGGGAAGGAGAGACTGAGATGGCTTGTCCCCTGGGCCTTCTCTGAGGGCACAGAAGAAGAGAACGTGATACTGTCGCAGAATGACTGATACAATTTTACTGCTGGGATGGTTCTTGGGTTTCCATTATTCTACAGGGGAAACATATCTCAAAATTTCAGGACCCCCACTAAATATATTTCAACTAGATCACGTCTCTCTCTTAAGAGATTGGCACCACCACCGGAGTACCACGCATGCAGAGGGCACTTGAAGGCTCTCAGTGAAGGCAGGAGACGGGGGGCAGGCAGACTGAGAGACGGGAGCCTGAGACCTTCAGTAAAACGCAGGCCCAGCCTTCACCTTCCCTCTCCAGTCTGAATATTGTCATCATCAGCCCAGAGTGCCTTGGGAGAGGGAGAGGCTCCGTCATTGGCAGTGACATCACGCCCAAAGCAGGAAATGACACGTGGCTGGAGGATGTCGGCTCCCCTCCCCCACCACCCTGCCCAACAGCCAGAAGAGCTGCTCCATTTTAGACATAAAGAGAAAAGGGGAAAACCCACCTTCTCCCCAGAACTCTTCAAAGTCTATTCTGGGGCAGGGAGGCTCAGTTGGCCTCCTTCCCTCCTGTTGTCTGCACGGTGCTGTGTGGCCCTTGGCGGGGTCTGGGATGCCCAGGTGGTGGAGGAGGGCAGCTCAGCTCACAGCCCTGGGATGAGTCACCTTAGGTCAGGCAGGCATTATTCAAAACTCTGCCTGTGTGTGCGTCTGATTATACATGAACAGACATGAAGGCGGGGGCTGGCGAGGAGGCAGGCTGGGTGCACTTTGTGGGGCAGAGAGGGCAGCCTTGGGAAGAACGTTTGCTGCCAGTGACCCCCAGGGGCCTGGGCCTGCTGGAATGAATGCTGTCACTGACATAGTCATTAAACACCCAGTTCACAGACATTGTCTTTCATCTTCACAATGTAACGAAAACCAATTCCCATGTTTCAGACACAGTAACAGAGGCTGAGAGGTTAGGTGACCTGCTTAACCACCCAACCAGGATGCAGCAAAGTGGGCATCCTCCCACGAGCACGGAGATGCCCACCTGTCAGGGTCCCCAAGTCCCCAGTACCGTCCCTTCCAGGTCTCATCTTCTGCTCCTACTTGGCCCCAAATTCCCACCTTGAATGAAACAAAAACCAAAAGACAGTAATCTCCAGAAGAATCTTGGTGGAACCTTGTAATCAGAGAAGTTACCTGGAGCAGGGCCATTCTCTGGAGAGGTTCTGGGAGGCTCCAGCGGGTCGTGAAGAGCCCAGGACATGGGAGCTGGGGGTAGCGGTGGAGGCCGGGTCCTAGGCATCTGGAAAGAACATCTGTAGGAGGGGCTGAGCACTGGGGGCCTAGCAGCATGGGGGAGGGGGGCGGAGAGGAGGAGGAGGAGGCCTAGGAAACCCATCCCTGACCTGCGGGGAGGTGCCCGGCACCTGCTTGCCTGCCTTTGGAGGGACCCCGAGGACTGGCCTCCTGAAGCAGGGGTGACGAAGCCGTGACTTTGCCCACCATTAATGTGGCAAATGGGCTTAAACGTTTATGACAGCATCGCCTTGGATTTTATGGGGGCGTTTTTGCTCCATAAACTGGACCTGCTTTCATATAGAGCTTCTCATTTCCTACTCACAAAGCCAGCTGCGGGGCACCTATAATTACCATCCTTTCATAGCTGGAGAAACTGGCCCCAGAGAGGAAACAGAGGATGTGCTGGGATGGTCCCTGAGAACAATGACGGCTGGGTCTTACCTCACCCGGACCAAGCCTCTAAAACTCACCTGGGCTCTCCCTTTGTAGAAGGGAGCTAGATGCCTTCACTGACTAGCTTTGGGGCTGGTCAGCTCTTCCAGCCTCCGCCTCCAAGCTGTGAAACTGGGGGAGGAACAAAGTTTACTCGAGAACAGCATAAGTACAAAGGGAGCCATGTAGGTAATTCAAAATTTTCTAGCAGTCGGTATTAGTCTAGCAGGCATTTAAAAAATTTGACAGAAAAAAAGTGAAAATAAATTCAAAAAATATATCCAAGATATTACTTTGATAAATAATAAACAAAAATTAGGATTGGAATATTTTACATTCTTATCACTTCTTGAGTCCACGAAATATGACGAGCATTCCACATTAAAGCACATCTGAACCCAGACTCCACGGCCCAGCTGTCCAGTGGCCACACGTGGCTGCGGCCTGGAGCCGGACGCGGGGATTAGGGGGCATCATGCAGGAAGGCGCACGTGCTTCGGCGGCCGCCTGGCCATTAAGTTCTCTCCCGGACACGCACGCAGGCGGAATTGTCCACGTTTAAGTCCTTTACCAGGACCCCAGACCCAAAGCAGGCATGAGACAGATCCAGCGCCGAGTCACTTTTCCTGCCCCTTCCAAACCGACCACCTCCCTTACGCGTAGAGGCGAAAGGTCCCCACCCAGCCATCCTCGCCGTCCCTGAAGACAGCCGCCCATCGACCCCCACCGGGGAGCCGCAGTCCTCCCCGCCTACCACCCGCTCCGGGCCTTTGCACCCGCCGCGATTCCCACCCCGAATAGAGAACGAGACCCGGGGCCGAGGAGCCTGCCCGTGGGCAGGAAGCCCAGGGACGCTGCGGACCCGACCCCACAGGCAATTCTGGGCTGCCCACCCCCAGGGGCACGCGGGGGCGAGGGCCGGGCTCAGGGGCAGCCCCCCGGGACCCCGTGCGCCCGAGCGGCGCACCTCGCGCCGCGCCCCAGCTCCCCCTCGCGGTGCCGCAGTCCCCGCCGTCCCCGCCGCGTCGCCCCCGCGCCCCGCCCGCTGACGTCACCGCGCAGGAGGGGCGGGGCCCCCGCTATAAAAGGCGGGGCCGGGGGGCGGCGGCAGGTCTCTGCGCCCGAGTCCGCCGGTCCGCGCCGCGCACAGTCCAGGGCCTGAGGCTTCACCCGCTCCGCAGCCGGCACCATGCGCGAGATCGTGCACATCCAGGCGGGCCAGTGCGGCAACCAGATTGGCGCCAAGGTGTGCGCCGAGGAGGGGTTGGGATGGGGGCGGCGGGTCCCCAGGGTGCGCGACGGGGAGGGAATGAGGAGGGGACGGCGGGTCCCCAGGATGCGGGACCAGGAAAGGGCCCGCGTCCACAGGGTGAGGACCGAGGAGGGGTCGGGGAGGGGGTGGCGGGTCCCCAGGGTGCGCGCCGGGGCCCGGGA